TTCTCTTTGAGTTCTATTCAAACAAGGAGATAGCAATTTTGTTTATTCCTTCCTAAGTTAGGAATCCTACTACATTAAGGAATAGTCAAGTCAATTCCTACTAGGAAGTGCTTGAACTGATCTCTTCGTTTTAATTTGTTTAGGTTTGGTTCTTTTATCGGTTTTCTTGTTCATTCCTTTATGTCTTTCTGTTTCCTTTAACTCTTGCAGATTTGTTGGAGTTAGATTGCTTCAAAATAACTTGAATTGAGCTTGTTTAGTTCAATAACGAACTGAAAGAGGAAAGTTGAGTGAGGGAAAAAGGCAAGAGGTGTGAGCAACACTTGAGAGAAAAGCCAAGTTCTACAATGTGTAAAACACGAGCGTTGAGTGCCATTTTGTGAGAGAGTGGAGTGAAACACGTAAGGGAGTGTTATGAGGTCCTTTTTATTCTTTTGTTTCTAACATTTGTTGCAGGTTTCAATCATGTCAAGAGGTGATGACAAATCAACCCCTAGAAGCCACCATGTGGATGAATCCTTCATGCTCAAAGCAATGTAACAACAATTTCAAAGGCTGAACATCATGTTTGGTGAGATTAAAGACAAAATGGAAAAACAAGATGCAGCGATAGCCAAGTTATACCAAACACAGAATGGAAGTCCGAATTTGCGTAGGAATGATGCTAATGATGATTTTGATGATGATTATAAAGATGCATTCAACAATGATGCCCAGAACTCAAATTTCAACATGGACAGAATTATGAGAGGTAGAAGGGGCCAAAGAGAGCAAAATCTGATAAGGTGGGGAGATCGGCAAGATCGTGACTTAGGTAGCATCAAGATGAAGATTCCTCCATTTCAAGGCAAGAATGATCCAGATGTGTATTTGGAGTAAGAAAAGAGGGTGGAATTGGTGTTTGATTGCCATAACTATTCTGAGGAGAAAAAGGTGAAACTAGCAACGGTGGAATTTACTTATTATGCTAGTCGATGTAGAAATCGAGAGCATCTTGTTGTCACTTGGGAAGAGATGAAAGCTATGATGAGAAAACGGTTTGTTCCTAGTCATTATTACCGCGATCTCTATCAATGATTACAAGGCCTTACTCAAGGGTCCAGAAGCGTTGAGGATTATCACAAGGAGATGGAAATCGCAATGGTTAGAGCGAATGTCGAAGAGGATAGAGAAGCAACAATGGCACGGTTTCTGCATGGTGTAAATCGTGATATAGCTAATGTGGTGGAACTGCAGCATTATGTTGAATTAGAGGATATGGTGCACATGGCAATGAAAGTGGAAAGGCAACTCAAGCGTAAAGGTGCCACCACTAGAACTGGGCAAAACTCAAGTTCCTCATCTTCTTGGAAACTGAATTGGAGCAAAAAGGAAGAAAATTTTGTTTTTAAGCCTAAAACTGCAGCATCTAAGTCAAAAGAAGTTGGCAGCAATGAGAAGAGTAAAACAGATAATACGTAAGGCAAAAACTGAGACATCAAGTGTTTTTTATGCTTGGGAAAGAGGCATGTCGCATCATAATGTCCTAATAAGCACACGATGATCTTGAGAGAAGATGGAGAAATTGAAACTGAGGATGAATCTGATGATGAATCTATGCCACCATTAGAAGATGCTAATGATGGTGTGGAATATGCTGTTGATGGAGAACTGCTCGTCACCAGGCAAGCTTTGAATGTGCAAGCCAAAGAAGATGATGAAGTACAACGTGACAATATATTTCACACGAGGTGCCATGTCAAAAACAAGGTATGTAGTGTGATTATTGATGGTGGTAGTTGTATTAATGTAGCTAGCCTTGTTTTAGTTGAAAAGCTTAATTTACCTATGACGAAGCATCCAAGGCCATATATGCTGCAATGGTTAAACGGTTGTGGAGAAATCAAGGTAAATAAGCAAGTTCTAGTTTTATTCTCTATTGGACGATATAAGGATGAGGTACTTTGTGACGTGGTTCCTATGCATGCTGGACATTTACTTTTAGGGAGACCATGGCAATATGATAAGAGGGTAACACATGATGGCTTCAAAAATCACTATTCATTTGCCATGGAGGAGAAAACAATTACTCTTGCACCATTAAGTCCAAGGCAGGTTTATGAGGATCAACTGAGGGTAAAAAAAGAGAGTGAGCTAAGAAATGAGAGTGAGCTTGAAGGTATAAAAACAAAGAGAAAACAGTAGAAAAAGAGTCCAAAAAGAGAGAAAAGATTGAGAGTGTTGAAAAAAAAGAGAGAAAATCAGTGAGTGTTTATGCAAAAGAAAGTGATGTCAAGGTTGCATTCTTTGTAAAGCAGCCTATGTTTGTGCTTCTGTATAAAGATGCTTATTTCAACACTAACGAACTTAATGATTCTTTGCCTAGTGCTGTTAAATCTTTTTTGCAGGACTTCAAGGACGTGTTTCCAAAAGACATCCCTAACAGTTTGCCACCAATAAGAGGAATTGAGCATCAGATTGACTTCATTCTAGGTGCAACAATTCTGAACCGACCAGCATATCAAAGCAACCCCAATGAGACGAAAGAACTTCAAAAGCAGGTTGAAGAACTCATGAAGAAGGGGCATGTGAGAGAAAGCATGAGTCCATGCGCAGTTCCAGTGCTACTTGTGCCTAAGAAAGATGGGACTTAGCGTATGTGCGTTGATTGTTGCACTGTTAACAAAATCATTGTAAAGTATCGTCACCCTATTCCTAGATTATATGACATGTTAGATGAACTGCATGGTTCTTGCATATTCACTAAAATTGATATAAATAGTGGGTATCATCATATTAGGATGAAGGAAGGTGATGAATGGAAAACAGCCTTTAAAACGAAACATGGTTTATTTGAGTGGTTAGTTATGCCATTTGGATTAACTAATGCACCTAGTACATTCATGGAATTAATGAATCATGTTTTGCATGCTTTCATTGTCAAATTTGTGGTTGTTTATTTTGATGACATTTTGATATATAGTAAGAGTTTAACTGATCATATTGAGCATTTGCAAAAGATACTTGAGGTTTTGAGAAAAGAAAAGTTGTTTGCTAACCTTCAAAAGTATTCCTTTTGCACAAATCATATTGTCTTTTTAGGGTATTTTGTTTCAACTGATAGACCATTTCAAGTGATTGCAAGGATTAATGACAACGCATACAAGTTGAAGCTTCCTGGTGAGTACAATGTTAGTGCTACTTTTAATGTTTCTGAT